CCTTGTTCTTAATGCTATACATTGTTCATTGGTGACCAACCTACTAACTAGAAAAATGGCTTTTCTCACAAGACCTAACAAACTTCATTTTTAATTTTAGCCAACGTGTAAAGCAATTGACAACAGCTTGGAAACTGGCTGTCTAGGTATTAATAAAGATACAAGAAGGAATTACATGCAATACAATAAGCAGGTCGTCAAAACTTTCCGCCACAGCTTGGTGACCTTGTCCTGTGATGCAGCTTCATTCCACGTGGTGCCCGACTGAATAGACAGCAAGGACCCTTACAGAGTTAGGCTGTGGTGTAAAAGACGCGAGACTTGGACCCTCCGATATATTCCCTAAAGGAAAATGGACTGTGTCGATCTCTCTCTGGCTTAGAGCACCCGCAAGGTCACGGCTCCTGATTTTTTTTTTTTTTTTTTTCTGTGCCGTATCAGAGCCTGACGTTGGCGACCATGTTTAATTTCATGGTTATCATTCGCTCCATTGACTTTCACTATATACATTCACACATCCATTCATATCATCGGGCAATTGAGGTGAAGTTCCTTGCCCAAGGGAACAACGCGCCGGCCGGGACTCGAACCCTCGAACTCAGATTGTCGTGACTTCTGAGTCCGATGCTCTAACCACTCTTCCACCGCGCCCCGATACGGCTCCTGATAGCAAAGCAAATTTCATTCCCTTGTCCTCTCCTGCGGAACTCATCGGCAAGCATAATGTCTTCCTGGATTCATTTTGTAAAACCCAAAGAAGATTCGGGTCGTGATTTGGCTCAAATTAGTAATAATAAGCAGTGTGGTTGCAGTTGACAGCGTGTTAGTTTTTTGTTTTGTTTGTTTTATTTTTTTTATTTTTTTTTTTTTTTTTGTTAATACATCAGTTTGAGTTCGGTATGCGTGGGACCTTTATTGTTCTGTATTCATTCGTTTTGTCATGGATCCCCATTTTTTCTTTTCTTTTCGGGTCAAATATTGTTCTATGGGACTTTTATTGCTCTCTGTTTTCTTCCATTTTGTCATGCAACTTAAAGTTCTTTTCTTGGTTAAGTTTTGTCCTGTTTTAGCTTTGACTCCATTCTATGTTTCGAATGTATTATTGTGAAACTTTTCTACCCAATTTTATTCTATTTCATCTTTCCGCTGATGATATGTCATCATTTGTACTTTTAAGTGAGTCTCTGCCCAATGCAACGCCATAGACCAATAGAGCGTGCCTTACGGTTTTTCTCTCTCACTGACGGTTTATACCTTTCTCTCTCTCTCTCTCTCTCTCTCTCTCTCTCTCTCTCTCTCTCTCTCTCTCTCTCTCTCTCTCTCTCTCTCTCTCTCTCTCTCTCTTTCTCTATCTCTCCCTCTCTTCATGCTCCACCCTTTTCTCTTTATGTGCCACTTAATTATAACACTATTAATCTCACTATGCAGCGAACCTAACCCAAAATACTGAATGTCATGAATCCAAGGGAAAGAAAAAGTAATTCCATGCGGGAAGCGAAAAAGGTGACGGAAAATAGTATATAAAAAGAGAGAATGATCACTGAAAAGGCACTATATTGTTTCTTCATTTTACGGTGAAGATACACTTGTAAGTTGTTTATGAATGCAAATACCATCATTGTATTTCATTTTTTTTTTATCATCAATAATAATTCAGTTATCAGATAATCAACACCATCAGCCATCACCTAACTGTGAATCTGTCATTAATTGTCAAGTTTCGAATTTGATATTAGTCATCATCAAGCTTTTAAACCTGTCATGAATAATCAACAATCATCATTAGGCTGTGAACTAGTCATCATCACCAAAATGTGAATCTGTGAACCTGTTATCACTCATTACCTGAAGTCATTGTCAAGCTGTTAACACGTCATTAATCATCAAGCTGTTTACCTTCCATTTCCCAGGCTATGAACATCACCAATATCTGACATAATCGTACGTAACCAAACTGCAAAACTGTTACCTCATAAGCAGTCATCACTAGGCTGTTAACCTTTCATCAATCAACCCCAAGCTGTGAGCCTGTCATTGATCACTGTGAACCAGCTGTGAACCGGTCAGCCCATGAGTAGGTATCACCAGCTGTGAACCTGCCACCAGTCAACACTAAACTGTGAACCAGTCATGTATCATCACCAGACTGTGAATTTGTCATTAGTCATCACCAGCCTGTGCTTTTTTTTACCTCATTAAATCAGTCAATGAGTGGGGTTAAAACTGAAGTTGTTTGTTGCTGCATTCACCTTATGTCTCAAGCCACAAGAGTTCACAACTTCCTGGCAGTCCCATGAGCCAATTCCATCCAAAATTGCTACTAAAGAAATTATCCTGGCTGGTGAGGTCATAATCAGGAAGTTCAGCCGTGTTCTTATAGCATGTCGAAAACTGTTGGAGGAAGAACAAAGCCCTGCCTCTTCCCTAAATTCACAGGACAGAAGTTAGATACCTATATATAAAAAGCCTCCCTCTTCTTTCAATAGACTCCTACAAGTCTAGTGGTGCAATGACTGAAAATACAGATTCGACTCTTTATTGAGTACTAATATACATAAATAAATAAGCATGCAGGACAATCCCCAATCCACTCATGAGGCTGTGAAATGGAGAGTGGGATGTTCTATTTAGACAGTTAAAACCCCACACTCTAGCACACTTTATAGTCGACCTTAGGGCACCATGGATCTGTCGTCAACGAGGGGTTACCACTTTGCCAGATTCAGGTCCTCTCTCTTTCACTTAGTCCAGGTACTTCTCTTCATCTTCATGCCTGTTCTTCCAAGTCTTCCTCCACTTTCTGATCTTCATCCAGGCATCTTTGCAGGTGTACTCGTCCCCACATTCAGGTCCCTTTTAGCTATGTACTCTTCTACACCTTAATGTAGTCCCCATTCTATACGTCCTCGTAGACTCCATCCCGACCTACAGGCGTGGCACCCTACCATCACGGAAAAGTTTTTGGTCTACAGGTTCTATGGGGGATCTTACAGCGATGCCCTTCCCACAGCATGCTGAGGAGACTGCGTTGTCAAGAAGCTGAACCGAGATTATACACATAAGGGCCAGTAAAGAAGGAAAAGAATGGCAACAGAGTCAGGGGTGTGGAAAGTGTGTAATATTATAGCCTTTTACTAATGTATATATATATATTTTTTTTTTCAGTAAAGATAAAGACGAAATAGGAGAGGAAGATGTAAGTAGTGATCCAGATGAATCTGTTTGGCCTACAAGCCATTTCTCTCCCCCTTCCTCTCCCTCTAACTCACTCTCTCTCAATCTTCGGTATCGCCTTAGAGAATCGTGTATATCAATGCCCATCATTGTTCACTTGTCATGGAGAGAGAATGTGACAGTCGGCTAGTATGTTAAGACCCAATGATCATTCATATATACGGGCTTATATTTACACATAAATAAATGTATATCTGTCAGTCTAGATATGCCTGTCTACCGGATAGATATATAGATAAATGTATGTCTATCAAATAAATAGGTACTTATATATTTGTGTATACATGTAGGTCCGTATATAAGATTATTTATTGGGTCAAGCCTCGCACTACTCTACCAAACTGACCGAATATCTTCAGACAACCTAGATGTATCTCTCTCTCTCTCTCTCTCTTTCTCTCTCTCTGTCTGTCTGTCTCTCTCTCTGTCTGTCTCTGTCTCTCTCTCTCTCTCTCTCTCTCTCTCTCTCTCTCTCTCTCTCTCTCTCTCTCTCTCTCTCTCTCTCTCTCTCTCTCTCTCATGGCTGCAACATCGGATTTTAAGTCTACAACTAAGACAAAGCCACCTACCGGCGAAAAGCTCGCTGTTTTCAGTTTCGAGGAAACGAGTGAGTTATTTCACTAAGAATAATTCACAAAAATGATTAGCGTTCGTAAATGCCAATAGAGTAACAGTTGGCAAAATGACTACAAAGCTGAGCTATAATGATCATGATATTCGTGTTTTATCACCACAACATACAACCAATAAATGGGTCTCCTCCTTTTTTTTTTTTTTCTTTTTTTTTTTGGCTCTACCCACGTTCCATCACAATATGAATTACTCTATTGGTCGGGAACATGAGGCAAATTAATACAAACTCTTAAAAAATTAAAATAAAATACATGAGACCAGAGAAAAATGAGTGAAATTCTGACTATCAGTAGACAAAACTCCTTAGAGAATGAAGAGAATAGAGATTCGTGGGACTGACTAAGAGAAATCACAAGTTAATGATCAGGTAAGGTAACATCTAACACAGATTTCATTCTGATAATAACTAGAGTTTTTATCATTATATTAAAGAATGCTATATTGTATTTGCTTACCAACGTGTTAATGCGTCGTTGTCCCCTAACACATCCCTTGGAAGATAGTTCTAGATGAGAACGGGTCCTAGCAACTGTAATTCCAATGAAAGAATTGAAAAGCCTAAATGTGGGAGAAGGAAGGATTGATTTGAAAAGGCCCAAATATGTATTCACGTTGCATCAAATGATAATATGATACATACTCCTACAAGTGGAGCCCTGTATTGCCCTGCACACTGAAATAAATAAGCACTACACATAATAATACAGCCTTGGGAACAGTGCAGGGTTTAAGCGTGCAGGACAACCCTCAACCCATCCATGGAGCAGTGAAATGGAGAGTGGGAAGTCCTTTACAAACAGTTGGATAAAAAATACTGCCCTGATGGTTCGAGGTTGGGTCAGCTGATAACCCTCCGTAAACCAGCCCAGTCTAGATCACATGGCTTAGTGTCACGCATTATTCTTTTATGGGTAGAGACTCAGGATGTCCCACGGAATCATAATGCAGTGACTCAAAGGATACAACTTACTGTGGATATTTCAGGAGTGAGTCTAGATAACTCAGGTTTCTGGTTCCTCCAAGATACCCCATAAAGATGAGACATTGCTTGGTAACTGATCTTTTGTCCCTTTCCTGAGACATGACAATGCCCCTCAGTAGCTCTATGGAATTGGTACCAAATTATCAGATGTTAGTCAGGACAGTCAGGACAATCTATGAGACATTAGATTACCCCTAGATGCTACAAAACCCATTGCTTTACCACTCTGAAGCCTGGAGATCGTCTCCATAGCCTCTCTTGGTAGGAGTTTCATTGCTGTTGGGAAGATTCGTCACTAGGATCATATCACCTGCATCTTTGCAAATTAGCTGTGAGGAGGGCATTGGGGGCTTTCTCAGGGGGTTGGTTGGCAAATAAAGGTAATTGATGAAGAGATGGCCAACACCTTCTACAATGTTCCCAATATGCATTTCTTGTCCCTCGTCAGCACCATCCTATTCCTACATGCCAGGGATTGATGCTGGTCTCAATCAACAGTTAATCAAGCTGTGTAACCCACATCCACGGCCTCTAGTGTCTCACATGATTAATTCCTCCTCGTTTTTGAGTGGTCGCTAATGACCAATGGACTCCTAAGCTGCATCACACATATCACTTTGAAGGTCTGAGTACTATAGGGCCCATCAGCGTCCTGAGTGTTATGAAATGATCAGAGACAGCTCTTATAAATCTCTGAACACATTCCTCCCTCACATCGTTCAGGTGGAATCCCTGGCGTGATCACGGGATAGAAGTGGACTTAGAGGGAAGTTATGAGTAAACTATGATAGGTACCATAGAACTCTGGTAAAATCTACAATTCCGAAAGATCCTCCAGTGAGTGTAAACAATACAGATGCAGGCGCAGAATCTACATTTACATCTACTGTTATTAATGTCTCTGTACTACTTAGCTAAGCACCTATCTCGGCTAAAATTGCAGTGTTATGAGCCTATGGGGAATAGAAAGCAAATCAGTACAGAGAAAGTGAAGCAGAAGATATAAAACCAACATGGTTAGGAAAATAAAAAAGTGGAAAATGAAAATTAGTAATTAAAAAGTAATTAAGACAGCCCCGCATAAAGAGAAATTATTGGTTGCATTGTAAACTCACCAAAAAGGCACTATATCATTTTTCTTCTTCGGGGGAAATGCACTGATTCTTGTTGATCACCACTAGTAAGTATATCATTATCTTCTCACATCAAGCTGTCAACTTTTCATCACCAACTTATCAAGTGCATCTTCACCTCGTTAAATGCAAATGTAACTCACTGTAATTATATATATATATATATATATATATATATATATATATATATATATATATATATATATATATATATGTATGTATATACAAATACATATATATATATATACATATACATACATACATATATATATATATATATATATATATATATATATATATATATATATATATGTGTGTGTGTGTGTGTGTGTGTGTGTGTGTGTGTATACAAATACATTCCCTAGTTTAATGGCAGCTAAAATGAAGCATCTCCAAAGTTGCAACCATGCAAAAGAAACATGAAAAAGAATCTACTGAATTCAAAGAAAGAAAAAAATACACAGCCCAAAATGTTAGGCTTAGGGTCTAATAGCACATGAATTAAAGTTTAGTTTGAATTAAACTTCATACACAAGACTTTGCATAATGTGATGTTGTCAAGATCACAACTTCCTAATTCAACAGTAAGATATATACAAAGATATAAGCATTAGTAGTATAAGCAAACAACCTGTTTGTTTTACATACGAAAAGTAACCAAGATGAGAAAATCAGGCTATGGACACTACCTAAAGGCATGCCATTTTCCCATCAACTGCCTTTTGCATCCTTCTAGTGGAAAACAAAATAAGAACGTAAAGATAGTGATACGCAAGTAAATAGTGAGATAGTGATAGAGAAAACGTCATTACCTGTTCCACTTCCAACACTCGGAGGACATTCGAGGGTTTGCTGCACTCGCACAAACGGGTATCGATCTTCGTCATAGCCGTAAACAAATGTGAAACGGCAATCATTTTCGTCAAAGAAGGTGCATAAACGTTCGTCCTCTGTTTCCGCGCTGGCAACTTGAACCACGGTAGAGTTGAATAACGTGCACTGATCCATGCACTCTTCTTCGCTTAAATCACCAGTGCCAAAGGCCTGGCATTGAACGCAAGATTTGTACTGAGAACATTTGCCTTTGCAGATTGGACAGTCCTCACACCACCTGCCGGAATACCTCCCTTCTTCTGCAACACTGCATACACACGCATTGCAGCTGCAGATGCCTTGGCCTGAGCAAATATCTCCAGTGACAGGGTTCCTGCAGTTATCCACACTGTCTTCACACTCACAAGCTTCTCCTGCCCATCCAGGTTCGCACTGACACTTATTGCAAATGCATTCACCATGGTCGGGTCCCGAACAAAGACGTCCATTGAATCGATCACAGAGGAAGTTGGTGCATTCGCAGAACTGTCCACTAACAAGTTCCTGTGGGTCAGCCCTTTCGTCGCAGCTACATTCTCCACATGCACAGGTTCCTCGACCACTGCATGGCGGCGATGACTCTGTTTCCTTGCAGTAGGAGTCATCGAAGGCCTCCGGTCCCCAGGGAGTATCCGCGGGGCATAA